TAATTTTAATAAGTTTAGCGTAAGTAGCGGTCGGAAAGTTAAAACGAAGTTAATAAAGCTTATAGCGCGCGCAATTAAAAAGAATTTAATACTTAGCTAGCTATGCTCGTTCGAAGATCACGCTATGATTTTTAAAGTTAATAATAAAAAAAAAAGTAAAAGATTAAACGCGCTTATTAATCGTAAGGTTAAAAAGTGCAAAATATAAAATAATAGCTTTACGAGCTTTATTATATGATTTAATAAAGAATAAAGCCGAAAGAAATTAAATTAAAAGTTTAAAAAAAAAGAAAGTAATTTAAGTAGCGCTGAATCAATTAGCGCGTACTTATTAGCTTTTAAGTCGAGCAAAGCAAATACTTTATACGAAAAGCTATTTTTAATAAAAGTAACGAGTATAGTTATAGCTTTACTATTAAGTAGCTTCGTAAGGTCGAAGTATCGTATATCTCGGAGCTAGCTTAAGAAAAAGGCTTTGCTTAAGCTTCGACGTTTTTTTTATTATCGAAAGCGTCGGAGTTAATAAAAAAGAGCTCTTAATAATCCTTAAAAGCGTTAAAGTAAAGCTTATCGTCCGAGTCATTCGAATAAAAGCTGTATTCGAGTTTAGCGCCGTATTTTATTTCGTTAATTAAGTAATAGCGAAAGAGCTTTAACGTATTTAGATTTTTGCGAAACGATCTAAAAGTTTTAATCGCTGATTTAAAAGCGTTTTCGAAAAAAAAGAATTTATTAAATCGATTAAATCGATTTGCATTAGCGCTAAAGCTATTAAAGGTTTAGCGTTAAAAAATAAAAAAAAAGACGGAAGCTAAGCTACTTTAACGGTTTTCGTAATAAGTGATTTGCTTAACCGCTGCTTTTTAAGCCGAGCGAAATTCGTTACGAGCTTTATTATAAAAGCTTTTTACGAATTAAGTATTATACTTAGCTTATAAAGCGTCGTAAAGCTTTGCAAACGCGTATTAGCTAATAGCTAATTGTTAAACGGCGGTTTAAAAGTCCTTAAAAGTTATAGTCTTAGCAAATTCTAAATAAAGCTAGTCGCGCAGCGTCTTAATGATCTTAAAACGCAAAGCTTTACGTAATCGATCTTCGTTTTTAATTTCGGCGATAGCAGCAAGCTTCGAAAAAACAAAGTAAAAGTTTTAAAATTGCTAATTAAGCTTTATATAAAGTTTTTCGAACTTAATTAACGCTTTAGCTTTTTTAATAAAGTCGTTTAAAAACTCGAAAGCGATCTAAACGAGTTTCGAAGCGATTACGAAGTTGCTACGATTTATAATTAAAAAGACTAAAAACAAGTAAACTATCTTTTCGGTTTGATTAAAGACGTAATTCTTGCGTTAGCGTTTTATAAAAAAGTATTCTTCGAAAGCTTTTAAGTTATCGAAAACGCGAGCTTGCTAATAACGTACTCGATAGCTTACACTGTTTAAAAACTTTTGTTTAAAGTTAAAGATCCGCTCGATACGAGCGCGACCTTAAGAAGCTAAAGAAAAAGCTTTAAAGGTATTGAATTTAACTAAAGTGCGGAAGTTAATTAGCTTATAAAAAAAAAAAATTTATCGTCGTCGGCGAAAAAGCGGCGAAGGTTAGCAGTTCTATAAGTAAAAGAAATAGTTTTGTCGG